GAGAGAGAGAGAGAGAGAGAGAGAGAGAGAGAGAGAGAGAGGTGAGACATGGTCTCTTACTTATTCCCTGTAGTATATCCCAGGCTCACTGGACCATGAGTACCTCCCACCTTGCCAAGGGATTGTTGAAATTACAGACACATACACCACATCACATCCGAGGGATCTGAACTCAGGTCCTCACACTAATGTGGCAAGAGCTTTATCCACTGAATCATTTCCCTGTAAACAGAGGCTTTTTTTTGTCCCATAGTCCCACAGCCGCTTTTAAAGTAATCACTCAGAGACTTAATATTAATTACAAACTGTTTGGCCCATTGCTCAGGCTTATTATTAACTAGCTTTTACAACTTAAATTAACTCATTTCTATTAATCTATGTTTTGTCATGTGTCTTGTGGCTTTACCTGTGTTTTAGTACATCTTGCTCCTCTGGCGGCTGGCTGGCATCTGACCCTGACTCCTTCCTTCTTCTCCCTGTATCTCTGCTTCGATTTCCTGCCTGGCTCTATTCTGCCTTGCTATAGGCCAAAGCAGCTTCTTTATTAACCAATGGTAATAAAACATATTCATAGCATACAGAGGGGTTATTCCACAGCATTTCTCCAGCCCAATAGTAACTTTAAATTTTTTAAATTTTATTTATGTGTATTAATGTTTTGCCTGCATGTATGTATGTGCACCATATCTGTGCCTGGTGCCCTGGATCCCTTCGGAACTGGAGTTATGGATAATTATAAACCACCATGTGGGTGCTAAATATCAAACACAGGTCCCCTGCAGAAGCAACAAGTGCTCTTAACTGCTGAGTCATCATCTCTCCAGCTCCCACAACACTAACTTTTTTTTCCTTTCTTTTTTTTTTTTATAATTTATTTAACTTTATTTTATGTGCACTGATGTGAAGGTGTCAGATTCCCCGGAACTGGAGTTGTAGACAGTTGTGAGCTGCCATGTGGGTGCTGGGAATTGAACCTGTGTCCTCTGGAAGAGCAGTGCTCTTAACTGCTGAGTCATCTCTCCAGCCCTCAATACTAACTTTTAAAGGAATGACTATCGTTCTGAAGTGAATTGACTTCATTGCCTTTTTATTTTTTGGGGGAGGGGGGGTTGGTTTTTTTTCGAGACAGGGTTTCCGCCTGGCTCTGCCTCCCGAGTGCTGGGATTAAAGGCGTGCGCCGCCGCCACCACCACCCGTTGCCTTTTTTTTTCTTAAATTAAACTTACTGTATGTACATGTATACACACACACACACACACACAGTTCCCAACATAGGTGTGTATGTCAGAGGACAAGTTGCAGAATTGAAATCTCTCCTCCCACCATGTGGGTCCCAGAGACAGAACACAGTTTTATCAGGCTTGGCAGCAAGTGTCTACCTCCTGAGCCTCTCTTGTGCTGGCTTCTATTTAGTTTCCATGTTTTAAAACAGGGGGAGCATCACTTGCTGGTTTATGTATCTCACATACTTCTTCTAACGGGATAGCATGAGAATGAAAACTCAGTGACAAGATCAAATGTAAACAAAAGCTGAGAAATGCCTCAATGGTACAGCATGTACTGAGCATGCATGAAACCTTGGGTTTGATAACAGAATACATAAACACCTTAAGTATCATGGGATAGCATTTGGATGAAGCTACAGAGCAGAAAAAGCAAAATTAAACTATGGTGGTAGAAGTCAGGTCAGGGGACATTGGCTAAAGGGGGCCTGGAAGCTCCCTGAAGGTGATGAAGATGATCTATGTCCTGATGCATATGCTGGGCACATGCTACTTGGTGTGAATTATACAAACATTAAGAACAATTTCTTTCTTTCTTTCTTAATTTTTTTGATTTTCGAGACAGGGTTTCTCTGTGTAGTTTTGGTGCCTTTAATCCCAGCACTTAGGAGGCAGAGACAGGCAGATCTCTGTGAGTTTGAGGTCAGCCTGGTCTACAGAGTGAGTACCAGGAAGCCAGGGCTACACAGAGAAACACTGTCTCAGAAAAACAAAAACAAAACAGTAAGATCCAATGTTGGAGAGGAAAAGGTAGACTGGACCAAAATCCAGAAGAAAAAAAGCGTTTCTATGATATAAAAGCTAGCCTTAAAAGGTCCAATTACAAAAAAGTCAATTTTCCTGCACGACCAAAACAATAAAAGAAAAAGAGGCAAATTACAAACTCACAAATATTGTCATCCCATTGATAACAAAGGCACACTTGTTTCCATAGCATATCAAAATCCAGAACTGAGGCAGGTAGGTGGCTTATGGGAAACTCAGCCCTTGGGAAACAAGATGGAAGGAGAGTTTGAGGCCAGCCTAGGTTACATAACAAGACCTTGCCACAAAACAAACAAAGGAAACCCATCAATACAAAGAGAAGAATGGAGAAAGACGTAGACAGTTTATCAAATATAAAACATTCATGCCTAGACATAAGAGACACAGAAACTGAAATTACAGTGAAATACTATTGAGCGGCTACTTGACTAATGAAAAGCTAAAAGTCTGCT